TGATCGCCTGTGGGTATAACGTGATCGCCTGTGGGTATAACGTGATCGCCTGTGGGTATAGCATGATCGCCTGTGGGTACGTGATCGCCTGTGGGTACAACGTGATCGCCTGTGGGTACAATGTGATCGCCTGTGGGTACAACGTGCACCAGCGATGACCAGGCTGTTGTGTCCCAAATAGTCATAAATGGACCCAGATGCTTGATGCTTTGTCTGGGAACCTCCCACCACACGCAGAGTGGTGGCAAGGGCTGAGGTCACACAGGGAGTTGTGGCCTCCCTAGACCCTCTCCTGGGCTTCTTCTTTGGAGGCACCTGCACCGTGGATAAGCTTGGGTCTCCTAGGGGCTGGTTTCAGGAGGCGATGCTGGCTGAGGTCTAGTGACCCAGGGACTCCAGGAAACGCCCCTCACACATCAGCTGGAGCTCCAGGGAGTGGCCCCTGCCCAGTGAGGGTGGGAGTGGACAGGCGACATAGGCCAGGGGAAAGGGGGAGGAGGAGGAGGGAGAAGAGGAGGAGGAGGAGAGGGAAGAGGGGGAGGCCTGGGCACCCTTCAGGGATAGTGGCCACCACCCTGTGGACATCCTGCCCCTGCCTCTGGTCCTGCCCTACCCCAAGTACTAGGGGGAGGTAAGGGAGACAGTGACCTTCGGGCCAAATGTAAGGGGTGGCAGAAATCTCAGGATTCAAGATAAATAATATTTTAATATGACATTAAGCAATAAAAATTAATTTAAACAAATCCATGATGGACAAAATATTAACACTTCAGTTAAAGTCAGTGTGTGTCTGGCTCCCCTCCAGGGATTAACCTTCCTCCTCCCCTCTCTGGCTTGTCTCCCCTTGGTCATCCTTTCCCGCCTCTGCCGCCAGACCCCCACATCCCCAGGAATCTCTCACCCCTTACCTGCCCCACCAGCTCCTCAGGCTGGACCGGCTGCTTCCTCCAGGGGCTCCAGGGCCGAGGGCTCTGCTCTGCGATGCAGCCGTTGGGTGCACCAGGCCATGGGTTACCAGCGTCAGACCCAGCAGCAGCAGGGGCCAGCGCTGCCTGAGGTTGGGGCCTGGCTCACCAGGGGCCTCACGGCCCGGCTGGCCTGTCCCTGGCCTCATCAGCCCTCAGGGTCGGAGGCCCTTGTGGCCTGACTTGCAGCGTGGGCTCCCTGGAGAGTGGTGCCCCGGTCTCTCGCTGGCAGCAGCTGTCCCAGGGCACCCCAGTCCATGTGGCCCCATCCTCATCCTCTGGTCCCTGCCCCCAGCCAGGCCCCTTCCAGCATCCATGGCCGTTACCCCTGGGGTTCTGTCCCAGAGCCACATCTGCCAACTGCCCTGCTGTGGTCAGGATCCAGGGCTCAACTGCCTCCCACACCTGTCAGCTTGGCCTTGTCCCTGGGGCCCTGGGTGCTTTGTTCGGGGACCTCCCACCACAGACAGAGGGTCAGCAAGGGCTGAGGTCACACAGGGAGGTGGGCTGCACCCCTCAAGACCCTCCCCTGGGGCTTTCCTTTGGAGGAAACTACACCCTGGATGGGTTTGAGTCCCCTCGGGGCTGGTCCCAGGAGGTGATGCGCCTGACTTCCCTCCTTCCCCGAGGGCGCCGTGGGTCTGTGGAGCATCTCACTGGGGTCCAGAGAGCCGCCCAGCAGGAGTCCCCCAGGGCTTGAGCTCAGGGGGCTGGGCTGAGGCTCCTCCAAGCAGCCCTGGAGGGAGGTGTGGTTAGAGAGGAGGAAACAGGTTTGGGGTTAGCCAGAAGTCACTCAACGGTTCAAGTCCAGGAATCATGAGGTAAGAACGAAAATGCTGTTTAATGTACCATGTTCAGCACCTCACAGACCTCACATCACACAGACAAACAGACACAGAGACACACAGACACAGAGACACACAGACACACACACACACACCTCCCACCCCAGCTTCCTGAAGGTGTAATTGACAAAACTGTATATATTGACCACCTACAATGTGATGCTTTGCCACACTGTAAAATGATTAAATCAAGCTGACTCACACGTCCATCTCCTCACATACTTACGCTTTTGTAGTGAGAACACGGAAGATCTAATCTTAGCAATTTTCCAGTATACATTTATTAACTGTAGTCTCCATGTTGTACGATACATCTCCAGAGCTCATTCTTACAGATTTCATTCAGAGGCCAGTAGCTTCCTCCCGAGCGGTGAGCGCATCATGTCATGGCTTCTGACAGGCCCCCGGGTCCTCTCCCAGCCCGGCATCCCTGACCCTCTCCCAACATCTCGGGACCCTGTGCTTTGTTGGGGCGGGGAGCAGTGGCAGTGAGGAGGGACTGAGCACCTGTGCTGGGCAGCCAGGGCCAGGCTCTTT